ATATATATATATATATATATATATATATATATATATATATATATATATATATGCGTTTGTATATGTATGTATGTATGTATACATATATCAACTCTGATATATATATATATATATATATATATATATATATATATATATATATTATAAATATACATTTATATACATAGAAACATATGTGTGTGTGTGTGTGTGTGTGTGTGTGTGTGTGTGTGTGTGTGTGTGTGTTAGCTCTCTGACTAGTAACGTCATTGTGAGGTCACGAAATATCGCTATGAGAAGTTAACACGTGTTAATTATTATGCCGTCTGCTAGCCCATAATATCGTCTTCTGGTAGTAAAATTGAATGTAAATATTTGCCTTATACAAATAAATCTGTAGTCAAACTGCAAACGATAATTATGAAAAAATATAAAGGAAGTAAATATATTCTGAGGAAAGGAATGCTCATTTCCAAGTTTATTTGTATATGTATGTACAAATGATGATTTGAAATTAAAAATGTATTTACATATATCAAACCTGTTTTATATTTGCTTTATTACCATGTTTCGTAAGGCTTGTTTGCAACATTTCCGAAACGCCTAACACTTTGATACACTCTGATACATGTTTACCTTTTACGCATACATTATTGGAACCTTTTGAAACATCTTTTCATTTTGTACCAAAGTATTTGCCTTCAACTTAATACGGTTTGATACACTCCAACCAGCCAATAAGAGCGCGATATTTTATAGATATATTTCATGTAGTCTCAGGTAGGGATTTATATTTTCATTGATTACGAATCGCATTGTATGTTTCTTGATATAACTTTTTTATTTATTGTCCATTGAATGTAAGAATTTCCAGCGGTCCGAGTTATATCACGCGATATTAACTGATATTGGTGGGATGAACGTCTTTTTGTATGTCATTTTGTAAGTCTATGGTATAACCTTACAAACCCAAAATAAATCAAAGAAAATACTCTGGATCTTGAGTTGTTGATGTACTTCATTCAGTAAATCAAGCATATATGCGTCATCATTGGAATTAACCAGTTGTCTGATATGTACACGGAACTCACTCGCAGATCCAAAACCTTATACAACTTCCAGTTTTTATCTAAATAATGTATGTAATAAGAAAACATATTTTGATTGAATCTGAGAAATAGATTAGAACTTTTCACAGCCTTGCGAAGCGAAGTGTGTATAAACAATACAAGTTGCAGAGTAATCATTGATTTCAATGCTTCTGTAAATTCAAATTTTGGAGCAAATTTCTACAATGAAGCCTAAGATATACATACATTCTGGAAAAAAAACATATTTGCCATTCTGGTTTCAAAATGGTTCTTTAATCTCAAATGTGATCAGTTAACCATAAGGCACTACAGACTAATCAGTAAGAAATTGACAAGAATTTCCACAGGCTACTTGTACCCTCCAATTTAAGCGACAATATATATGTATGTATATATATATATATATATATATATATATATATATATATATATATATATATATATATATATATATATGTATATATATATTTTTTTTTTTTTTTTTTTTTTTTTTTTTTTTTTGACAATATTGGATACTTCTGCTAATAACCTTGTGCCATTAGTCTCTTCACAATTACTTTCTAGTGTACGGCAAACAGCTCCCAAGATCGTCAGTGCATTTCGCTTGCTTGGAAAGTGTATTACACATGAACGAAAACTGATTTAGGATATTTCTTGTTGTCTCCGCGATTGCGAGGAACACTAAATCGTCAAAGTAATTTAAAATCATCATCCATTTCTAAATATTCTCACATTATGGACAAGCTACATATAGATATTAAGATTTTGCGCTTTTGCATTCACAAACCGTCTCATACTTATCTGGACAGCTGATACTTTTAATATTTTGACTTGATCTGGTGAACCACAACCATTTCCTGGCTCTGTTTAGGGTTGTGATATTAAGGAGGTCTAAAGTGTGATTTATTTTTAACAGAAATTCTGCTGCATCTACAGCAGAATTTTCCAAATTAATCTAATGCAAATATACTGAGACACACATCTTCGAAAATGCTTTCTTTAGCTTAGGAGCAATTCTGATTACAACTTACTTCCCTCTCTCTCTCAAAAGAGAGAGAACATGAATCCAACGGTACAATTTAACATTGACTCTGTTATTAAAATTAGGAAAGTTATTGCGAACTGACTTAGAGATGTTCAGTATCATATTTTTGTCTTCATCACCAAAGACAATTCAGAATTGAACAGCTGTTGCCCTTTCCATCATTATTCTCCATTTGTTTCTGTCATCTGCCAACCCTTTCGTTTCAACCATACACTGACCACAAATTTCTTGGGTATTATCACTATACTTAATCTTAGGCTTTATATATATGGTGTGTGTGTGTGTGTGTGTTTGTGTGTGTGTGTGTGTGTGTGTGTGTGTGTGTGTGTGTGTGTGTGTGTGTGTGTGTGTGTGTGTGTGTGTGTGTGTGTGTGTAAATATATAT